TGAGAACAATCGGCCTGAAAATGGTGATCAGGAGTTAATAAGTTAGATCTCAAGTTATAGCTTTATTTTCAGCGGGGAACAATGACGAGGCAAGAGAACGAGAAAGACAAGCCGATGATGAGAATGTTAACTTGATGTAAGCTTTTATATTTGAGACAGTAGAATGAAAGTAGCAATGTTGGCTTTTAAAATTGATCACAGTTAGCGTCTTAGCATAATGCGATCATACACTACGTAACAAATCCAGAAAAGGTAAAGTTCCGATCGCTCAATCGACTTTTACTCTGTTGCTTCAATCTCATTGCGTGCTGTGCTTCAAATAGAAATCTCGTGTGGTGCTTCCATGTGTACTCTTCGATTTGCATGTGACTGTATGAATATTTATGCATCTCGTGATAAGAGCAATACCAAAACTCATTTGCTATGTACCTGTAGTTGGAAATTAACACAAGATTCAATCTACACAGAACGCACTCATAAATAGGGATTGCAGGGCGGGGGAGAGGAACATTGTGTGACACCATTTTTCAATATGAACGGTGCAAAACATGACGAGCTATTCGGCATGTTCGTGTATTTCCTTAAGTAGGATGATCTAATAACGCTGGCGTATGGTTTACCATGCCTATTAAGTCGCAGCGCGTGACGTAAAACTCACAGTCAAGACTGCAACCTTATTTTCTTGGTACTTTATATGTATCTTCTGATCTGCTTCTTTTATGGTAGATAAACAAACTCATAAATTAACCAAGTTCGGCTGTCCTTAAATCTTGACATGGTTGTTTCTTAAAAGATGAGTTTCTTGAGCGCTGACCAGAACTGTTATTGTTCTTTATTCTGGTTGACTTGTCTTTTCTAGCCTGGAAAGCCAAAGATACATGTAAACCATTCTCTCAAACACCCAATCTCGCCAAAAAGACAGAACTTAGAGCTGATAGAGCCAGAGACAGCCAACGAGAAGCACTGAGTTAGTGCCCACCTCATTAGTCTTGAGATAAATAGGGGCC